CCATTTGGAGTGAGACTTCTGTGTAACTCAAAATCTAAAGAGATCCCTGTTTTGCACTTCCCTGCCGTCATCATTATCTCTATATTTTCAACTAAATAAAACTTAAAGGCTCTAAGAAGCAAATAAATTTTTGAGTTCCATTGTATTTCTTCACAAGGAACGATCAGCCTTGTCTGATATGCTTTCAACATTCAAAAGGGTAATACCACAACTGTAATACGGTTATAGCAGTATTACAAAAACACGTTTATAATTGAAACAAACTTTTGAACCTTACACAGTATTTTCTCCCCAAATGAAATCTAGGTTCTACATAGACTGTTACAATCATTTTTATTAGAACTGTACTTGCCCTGATATGCGAAATACTGTCTAGAGATATAGTACTGCCTCCAAAACTTACAACGGAAAAAAAGTACAACAGAAAAGTATTGTCAGAAAAAAGAGGTGGAAAATCCAGGGAGAAAAAATGAACACTGGCGTGTTTGGTTATTCCTCAATAAACAGCGTCTTAAAGTGATCAGATCGCAAAATAGTCAGTGATAATGCAGTAAATGTTAGTAAGTGCTTACAGGTAAGTAATTTAAAGAGATCAGACAAATGTCCATGAACAGATTCCTGTCTTAAGCCAGACAGTAAATGGTTTGGAGAGAGAGATAGGAAATAAAATGTCTACCACATTGCTTCTTAGTGGTAAAAGCTCCTAATAGCACTGCTGTGTACAGCTTCAGCAACATTCATGACTCAGCAGTAACTGACTGCTTTCTCTCTAAACAAAAAACCAAAAAAAAAAAAAAAAAAAGCAACGTGTATCTCTAAATTTAGCTTTAAAAAAGTCAAGGAGAAACCAGCAACTATTGGGTTGGAATGAATTCTTGCTTATGTGCACAGCTCATGAAGAGCTCCTGATCTGAACAGTAAAATGAAGAAACCTTAAAGAATCAAAGAATTTTATAGTGCTACATTGGGAACAATTGAAAATGGTCTCAGTCCAACAGAATAACAAATATCCTTTTCATCAGACAGATGACATTCGTGCTTCAGTTGGGTTTTTTCATCGCTGACACAGGTGTCAAGCAGTAACAATTCACTCTGCTTCTCCAATAAATGTTTAGTCTTCCACTAGATATCCAGTCATACAGGATAAATAATTGCTACAGGAGCCTTAACTGCTTGCATAAACAAAAATGTAACTTCATGGACCTCATCACTTTCATGGGCCAATGCCTAAACAAAATAAGAATCATGAAGAATTTACTTTTTATTCCACATGATTGCAGAAGATGACTTTATAAACTGCAAACTTTGTTAATATTTTTACTTGAGTTATTCCTATATAGTTTATTTCACATATAGTAAATTTCCAAAATACTATTTTCAAGAAAAACGAACTAGAATTTCTGTAGATCTCTTCCTGCTACAACTAGATAGACAACATTTAGAACAAGGCTAAACAGTATTCTACAATGAATGTTACAAGTTCATTAGGTGAAGAAGAAAACAAAAGAACCCTGACTAGAGTTGCTATTGTTATTGTTACAATAAACAGGTCTCAATTAAATTTACACGAGTACCAGGACACATATAGTTAACTATATATGTAGATCTACATTCTTTTGTCAGAACAAGTAAAACTTCTAAAACACTGAATGTTGTGAGTACAGTGGCATGTACAGAAAAAATATAGAAAGAAAATACAGAAAAATGCTTTTAACTCCAGTATGAAATTCTTCCTATTTTTTTTTCTTGTGTTATCATGAAGTAAAAACCAAAACTAAGCAGGAAAAGAAAAAAGGATGGCAGCAGAACTCACTGCTACATGTAAGGACACATAAGGACACAGCTGGAACACTCTAGCATTGTCATCACCTAATGTGAAATTAACTTCCAAGAACTATGAATATACTCTAAGTAGTAAGTAGAGTCTGAGGCTATAAAACTGAGGAGATTCCAAAGAATTAGACATGGTAGACCGAGGTCTCTTGAGACAGCGCTGATCTTTGTTTTAGCCCCTTGTGCAGTCAAACAGTAGAACCTCCACTGAATAAGCTAACTCACTGCTTCTGAACACACTGTACAATACATTAATTTATCACATTTTTAAAGCACAAAAAGTTACTGGAAGTTGTTATCAGCCAGTGTTTTAGGAAAAAAAGTCTTTTCACCTATACAGAAGTTCACCTAACTACTTTTTTAAAATTTACTTTTTTCAGGGAATACAAATATTCTATCAATTAATATTTTGCTGATGGAAATTAAATGCTGTATGTCTACAGATGTAGGCCCTATCTGTGCACTAGTCTGGATCTCAGTTTAAACAAAACCTAGCTGCCTTATTCGTAACTTTGACACGCTCCACTCTAAACAGCCTTACAGGCATGCAGCTGTACCTACGATCGGAACGTGCACTGCGCACAACGCAACTGCGCTCAGCAATTCCTTCTTTCACTTGTACGGCCTCACCTTATTCAAGAGCATTTCAAATCGAAGGTTGCAGAAGATGCCTGCCCAGATACGAAATAAGTATCAAGCTGCAAATTTGAGGAGAACAAGTAGTGAAAGACAAAGAACTGAGCCATACAGAAACAGCTGAGCAGAAAACATGCTTTTTTTCCCCAAGAACAGTAGTATTTTGAACTTCTAAACGAATTTCTGTAGAATACATTGATGACTAGTACTTGCGTTTGCCATGTGCTGAGGAAAATAAAGGCATTAACCTCAATAAAATACCTTGCCTGAGGAGGTCAAGGCCAGCTATGAGAAGATGTGACGTTCAGCAAGAAGAAACAATTCAACCTGAGTGAAAAAAAAAACCCAACCCTATCTGCAGAATATGATAACAAACTACTGAAGTTTCCCAGACGTACTCCTACTTGCTCTTTTAGATAACTAGCTGTGACCATGTATTTCATGCGGCTTAATGTCCAGTAACATTCCACAATTCACCAATAAAGCAAGCACATGTACAAGGGAACAAAACTGTGAGATAAGCATCTCTGATGACACGCGAGTAACTACTCTAGGTTACTTCTAAGCATAAGTCTTCGTAAGAAGTTCCCAGCTTGAGGCATCTCTTCCTTTTTTTTTTTCCTCAATCAGAGTTGCTATGTGACCTTAAATCCTTATGTACATTAAGGCAACGGTCACGGCATTGAGACATACAAGTTTTCCCAAATAATCCAAAATCTTGATATGAACCTACTAATAATCTGTAAAACCCTCAAATTTTCTCTTTGGATTCCCAATCCGTATAATTTTTAAAGTCGGAAAAAAGAAGAAAGAAGTGAAGACTCTGGTTACATTCAATAAGCAATTAATGCTTATCTTCTAATTTCCAGCTGACATATGTCTATACAGTCAGCTGCTTTTCTAGCTGACTCCAGTGACGCAATGCAGACCTCAATCCTGAAAACATCCCCGTGTTTTACTTCTCATGACTAAGCAACCCTACAGACTTGGAAAGAACTTGCACATGGGTCTACTCAATAGGTAATGTTAAATTAAATTTCTTCAGGAACAAGGTTTACCTTGCTAGAAACATGTAAAAATGTGGAATTTAAATATTTAAAAATGCTGTTTGCATCAAAGAAGCCCTTAGAATATTTAGTAAAAAGTATAAATAGAAAAAAGAAACTGATACTTCAAGTTCAAAGAAATATTTAAGTGCTGGACTAGAAGGCACAGTAAAGGGAATACACAGACAAAATTAGTCAGCAAAGCCCCTCTTTTCTAAAGTAAGTAGCTTTGGTTTCAGTTCTCAAACTATTTATACAAAATAGAAGGAAGTGGTTTGGATATGGTCAACCTTAGCTTGCAGGTCCAAAACATGCTCAAACAGCACAGATATTATTCATTTTGTAATTAAGAAGAAAAGAAGGAAAGTTAGCTCATTGGTAGTTTATTTCAAAATATTTTGAAGATGAATGTCCACAGCTGGTAAATTTTCTAAGCCCTAGAGTCAGGAAGGACTTATACACCCCCTTTTTAAAATACAGATAAAGCTGAAGATTTGCTTCATTGGACAGAAAGAACGCATCTGTGTTATCACTGAAAAATCAATTAGAAACTAATTAGAAACAAACTCACCCACAGTTTGGTCTGCACACCTCTTTCCAGAAATTCTCATTAATATAATATATTCTAAACCAAATTAATACCTTTCTTTCCTGCCCCACGCTTTGTTTCTTTAATGACCTCATAGACCTTGACTTCTCTTTCACTAATTAGGCGAGCAGTTGCCAGGTTTTCATTTTCAGAGTACGGATAACATTGTTATCTTTATGTGGGACCCAGTTCTGCAGTATACTGGAACTGCTTCTCCAAAGAAGCTACTTTGACATAAACTGTATTAGTGGGAAGCGTTCGTTTCCTTAATGTAAACTGTGTGTTCTCTCAAAACTACCCCCGCTTAACTATTAAGTTCCATGCAACTCTGCTCGCAGAGAAACGTGACAGATCTTGAAGCCTCTTGATGTTTATCGTCCTTTGAAACAGAAAGCTTTTGAAAAGGACCATATACTGGAGCCTTATGAGAGCAAGCTGTTCAAAGCTGAGCTTGTGTAACACTGTTCACACAGGGTATTTCTAACCCTGACCAGTTCGCCACACCTTCCACTTGAAGCTCCTACAACTCCTACATCCTAGTCACATGTACCAATCGGTGTCCCTTTAGCCAGGAACGTGTAAAGCAAACAGATGTAATACCACTTCTTATGCATGATAATATCTTTTAATATCTACAAAAGTCTGTAAGGAACAAAAACCTAAAGGTGAGCTCTGAAATTCTGAAATCCATAGAAAGGCACCTGTCTTTTTTTTTTTTTTTTTTACATTTGGCCTTTGTGCTTTCACACCACAGGTTAAAAAAAATTAATATGTGAATACAGGTGAAACATTATTGAAATAATAATTAATTAAATAAAAAATTAAGTGCTAAGTCACAAACTTTAAAAACAATACTATTAAATGTGTATTAAGTGAAACAAATTCACGTTTACTTCATGACAAATTCTACTGCGGTTCTAAATGAGTAACTATTTTCAAAAATACACTTCTCATGTTTTTTATCAGACACAGTTTATAATTAAAAGATTAGAACAATTTGTTTGGGTTGAAAAGACATTACAAAACAAAGCACTTAAAATTATTGAACAAAATATTACAGCCAAGTATTTCAGATATTTGAAATCACTTTCTTGATTCAAAGACTGATACCTGTGAAGAAGGTCAAAAAAGGCTAACAACCCTCAAATATGTTTTTTTTTTTAAAGCAAGGCTGCAACCTCAAAAATGGATAGAGTTGAGTAGAACAAAAGTCCTGAAACAAATATATTATGAAGTGAGGTATGATAGTGTTGAAGTGCTACAGTGGATTTCTGCATATTCAAACTTATTTCAGGTCAACTACTTTGAAGTTTGAGATCAGCAGACTACTGACTGCTTGCTGTCATCTTTTGTCATATGACCCTTTCTTAAGTGTCCAATGGCCACAGAGAAAATACATTCGATTAAGCAAAAACTAACAACATGATCAGATATGGATGAGCATATCTGGCAATTTAGAAGGCAAACTGTAAGTAAAAATGCAAGCATACAACTTATTCATAATAAATACATTTTCGAGCATTTAACATTATCAATATTTTTAAAAGAATTTAAATAATAAATGCAACTATTTTATACAGAACTGTACCATTTATTATACACACAAGTATATCAGTTCCCTTTGTTTACAAAGGCTGGTTACAGATAAATGGAATGTTACAGTACCATCTTGCATAAAATTTTAGTACAATTCGTACTTCAAAAAAAGGGTGCAAAACACCAGCCTAATAAATCTGACTGAATTGAAATCTTTTTAATTACATCATTAACACATACACAACAAGCTGTACATAAGCCCACTTTTCAATCACCACTTCAAGATACTGTAGCAAGTACATTAGATTATAAACGATTCCAACTATTCAGTTAAATTTATTAAAGGTCTGCACTGCTACTCACTCTGGAACCTTTGAGATTTAGCCTGTACTCGTGGATTACTGAGCTCTTGTTAGTACAGTTAAAAGGCAGACAGCACTGGTTGCCAAAGTACTAGTCACAAGAGATTTCCTCAGAGAAACTTCACTCAGGAACAAATGTTTTTGGATACTTTTTCTCCTCCAAAAATAAAAAAAAAAGTTTTACGTTTTATGGGGTCAAGACTCTCCATTCTGTACCTTGGATGCTGGTGGATGCATGAAGTCCTTAAAGGGAACCAGTGCCTCTTTCAGAGCAGAGCACACTTCCGAGGATGAGCAGGTGATACATTCTACTAAAGTCGGGTACAAAGCAATAACTTGTGCCCATGTGTTGGCATCAACTGCAATGAAGAAAAGAACAGATTAAATCACTTACGGCTGTCCAAATTCTTACAATACATTTTTTTCAACACCTGTATAAATAAGGGCACATCCAGGTGCCCAAACGTGAGGACCTACTGCTATATAGACACGACGACATCTGTACAGAGCTCTCAGGATGTAGGAGTTTTACAGAAGAGCCACGGTCTCTTTTGCAGCAGTGGCTGGAAACCAGAGAGGGTATCAATAAAATGGTACGATGCACCTGTGTTTCTACCTATGAGTCATTCACTGTGTTCTCTGGATGAAGAAATGACAAACTGAAGATAATACTTTTATTAAATCCATAACACACACACACACATTTGCTGCCTGCTTTTCTCAGCTATTGACCGAAAATTGAACTGGATGCACATTTCACTTTTGGAAACTTGTCAGCAATGAGGCCTTCTACTAATCTCAATCATTCCAGATTACAAAAGCTATAGAAAGCAGAGGGAGAAGCACTGGACCAAAACAAAAAATATCCGTGGTAAAGTTCATTAGTCCAACAAATTAAATTAAACACTGTCACATGAATCTTATTTATTATGTCACTTCCTTGTTTATCTCTATTTTCAAAAGGGAGCAAACCACTGATTTCAGGCAATGTTACTAATTTTCTTAAAGAAATAAAATTATTAAAAGCTAGAAGAAGTGGGAGTAAAGTGATTCTCTAATTTGTCCAGTGGTTCTTTTCATAGGAAAGTAGCAGGAGGTTTGGCAATCACTGCCATGTATGGACTAGGTGAAGAATTTCTCTTATTGCAGGAAGAGGGATGTGAGGAACAGTCCAGCTGAGTTGGCTACTCCACCCCTCTAAGAGAAGGGCCCACCAAAGTAGCACTTCAGTTGCCTTCAGGGCTCGCCAAAACGCTTTATGTATCCTGGCATAGTTCTGCCCTCAGCCTTTTGCCATCAGCCTTGGAAACCACATTATAATAAACCTGGCTGCTCACTTATGCCACAAGTGAGGCACCGCCTCCTTCGGGAAACCCACCTGCCCGTGTGTTGCCGAAAAGGCTGGTTGTTTCAGCATTGAAAAAGTTTCTTCTGTTCCTCATAATATCAAAAGTGGAGGGTTAGAGGGAAGTGTTGTATATGCAATGCTGTTTTCTGGTGGGGACTCTCTATGCATACAGTAGGTGCAGCTTACAGGAAGAACAGGACACATGCTCGTAAATGAAGTTGAGGTCTTCCATTTAATTCAGCTCTTTACCTACATCTTAGTTACTCGTTTACTGCTCATTTACTTGTGCATCAAAGAGCAAAGACATCTTTCTCAATACGGGGGACAGGAGGTACTAAAGCAAAAAGGGAGTGAAAGCAAGACAGCAAGTTTAAGCATCTAACAGCCTACCCATGCAGATGACCTGTACATCTCTAACTGCAGGGTGCACCTATGTGCACCTATCATTCTACGATTCTATGAACATGATCCACAGCAACCTATAAAGGTATCAGGAGAAGAAAAAGGATCTAGCAAGGCTGTATATAGTTAAGAATTCTATGAAAATTTTACGGAAGGATTTTTGTTTGTTTTTAGAAGACACCAAGCTCTATCTAATAAAAGACGCCATAAATGGAAGTTTTCTATTTTACTAAGCATATCTTAGGATCTTATACCTTTAGGTATACTGGAAAAACTTTGTGGGGTTTTTTTTCAGTCTACCTGCCACCTACGTATACACAGAATTACAAAATACTGAATCTTACAGATTACACTTGTCTTTCCAATTTGTGTGAAAATTACTACAGGAAACAATAAATTTGTCTTTGTGGCAGATATAATGTTATCTTGTTTAGAACCAAGTTGTTTAACAATAACTTACCATTTTCAGGTTGAGTTTTTTTAAGTGAATCTATGAGAGTACTGACAGCTTTTAAAACAAATATGATTTCTGTTACTTGTTGCCTACAAAAGGAAAAATGAAAACAGTCAGTTACTAATTTTTGACTCAAGAATGTAAGTCTTCTATGAAACTTACATAACATTAAAAAAAACCAAACATGTAATGGAAACAGCTGCAATGAAGCGTACCAGAAGAGAGATTAAGGTTATAATTTTAATAATTTGCCTTCAACTTTCCTACCATCATTGCTGTTAGCTAGTACAGCTTTAAATTTGATGCTGGAAACAGTAACAGCACACACATCTCAATACGAAATACTCAGGTACATGATTAACTGTAACATGGAAATAGTCGATTTCATCATTCATGATCAAAACCTTCAAAAGTTAAGTGAAATTTAAGTTCCCATTTAAAAGAATTTCCTGGTAATTTGGTTAATTTTTCTTTTTCAAGAACAATTACTTGAGTAATGAATCACAATGTTGCTGTTTGGATATTTTCTCTTATTTTTGAAGAGACTCCACCTCTCAATTTAGAAACTATACCTAGCTCTACGTGGAATAAAAGGAAACCAGAAGTATTATGTCAGAAACATTGTTGCAGTAACTGAAAACATTAGTTACTAAGTCGTATTCTTATTGTCCACTTAACAGCACTGAAGACAACCACTATCATTTAAAGCTTTTTCAATAGAAAACTGGTATCAACATTTTCTTTGAAATGTCTTCCCCACAGACGCTTCCCTGGCTTTAAATTTCACCCCAAACAATATTTTTTTAATGATTGAGTGATGTTTTGAACACAACCTTCTTCTCAAAAAGCACTGGTACTACCTTTGATTTCCTAAGGACAACGTACATACCGTGGAAGAGGACATTCGCCACTCAATCTCTCATCTTCTATGTAGCGATGCAATACATCCTGTGACCTTTTCAAGAGCACAGAAAGTGCCATTCTAGAGATGTAGCCTTCCTGAGAAGTTGTGACTTTGTTACTGAATGAAAACTGGAGCAGCGTTTCAAAACACACCTTAGAAAACTCCTCCCTCATTCGAATATCTATTTCGGCTTCTGTGAAAGTAAAATGCCATATTTAATTGAGCAGTGCACATGCCAATACACTAAATGCTGCATTTCAATCAGCTTATTACGTTTTGCAAAAAGGTTATCACTCCTCTAGTATTAAAAAAGACTAAAAGTGATATGAACAAATATTGGGAATCCATTCTAAGAAGAGGTGACTGTGCAATAATCACAATAGTTCCAAAAATAAAAGATAAAATATGCAACACATTCAATAATGTATCACCTACTTTACATTGCTTTAATAAAATATAAGATATAAATTTTTAAAACCCAGCAACCCCAGTTCTACATCATAAGTACTAATATTTGGTACTGTACAGTCCAAAAATTTTTCTCTGTAATGGCTTACGTCCATTTTTTTTTTTTCATCTTTCCCAAAAAGCTATAAATGTTTTTTTCTTAAAGGCAGAGAAGGTATCTGATTAGGTACGCCATATATTTATGCTAAAGTCATTTAGTGTTTAAGAATAGGATATTATGTCTGTCTCACAATTGTCTGACATTATTGTTAGAACTATTTCAGCTGGCATGATGCAGAACAAACTATGTAGAAAGTAAAAATATAAACTAACACCAGTACAATATTGTGTACGATACTGACCAAGAAGCAAGGAAATAATTTTTAAAAAATTACTAGGAATGCTTGGCAACTTGAGTGAAACAAAATACAGTTTGTAGAAACAAGCTGGATATCAGTCTATACCGAATAAATGCCATGGAACTTCAAAGTCTTTATCAGAATAAGTACCCTCAACATCTTCATCACTTTCTAGCAGATTAAACACTGTATCTTTTGTCAATTGGGGACCATACCTGTAAAGGAGGATGACTGAGAATGTATTGAGCCTTTATTGAGCATAGTCATTATCTGACCAACAAATTCCTTAGGAATAAAATTAGCGTATGGCAGTATCTCTGTGCTGATAAGCTGCACCACCTAAAATAAATTAAAATGCATTTTCTGAATATTAAAGTTGTAATTCTATTAGAAGACGACAAACGTTAAACAAAAGAGACATGCCTAACAAAAATTCACAAAATCTTCCAATGCTAACTTGTAAAATTTGCAGATATGTCCAAAAATTGTGGTCTTGCCTGTAACACTAAACTTGAAATAAACTTTTTCCACCCCACTTTTCTCAGAGTTTCTGAAGCAGTTATCACTCAGATTTCCGCTGACATTTCAAGCATATTCTTCAAACTGAATTTATGGTTTTAGGAAGAGAAAAATCTAACATTAGGAATCTCCCTCTCCCTCCACCCGATTCAATATCCTCACCATGACACTAACACATATATCACACGCTTACAATGTGATACCTGCAAAGCAGAACAAGTGAGTTAATTATCTTAATGAGTTTAACACAATGCACATTAACTGAAACGCTTTCTATCCTTGGTCTTGATGACCCAGTCAGGAACAAAGTGAGTTTAGATCTCCTGAAATTAACGCATTAGATCTCAGAGTTCTGCCCACTGCAGACAGAACCACTCCTGCTTTTCATCCAGAACTCTGTGTGTCCCAGCTGCCGCTCTGGAGAGGTGACAATCAAACACACTGACATTGCCACGTGTTCTTGGCAATGCCTTTGTACCCCTGATCCCTGCTCTGCCACATCTCTGGCCTCGAGTGAAAGGAGACCAGTCCCTCTTCAGCACAAGTATCATCATCTCCAAATTTTCTCCGGCCTTACGCAACCAAACATGATCTCTTTCACAGTTACAGCCGTCTCTGTACTGCACAAACAAGACATCATTTCTCCACTTATGCACAAGCTTCTCAGTACTGAGAACACATCTAGAGAGCAACAACGTCATGTTTTTAGCTTTAATTGTCAGCTGCTTCCATGGTTTACAACCACCTGTGCAATGGCTTGGCTATAACACAGTAAGTAAGAATCAGGTAATGGATTAGGGACAGAAACACATCCTGGTTTGGCCACTTTACACTGTTTTGAACTTGAGTGGACAAGAAGTAGTTTTTGGCATGCCACTTCCTGCTTTTTGCAAAACTCTGAAGCAGCCCAATTCTGAGCCTGTGCATTTCCTGCTTTGTTTTCAAAAAGGAAAACAGTATCACAGGAAAAATAATGAATGTGTAACTTGTCAAAAACTTATTTCAGAACCAAATGCAATCTGTGAATGTCACTATCTCATTATGTTCGACGGTATAGTAGTTATAGTCTCCTTACCTCAACATCAATATTCTCATTCTTCTGAAATTCTTGAATTGAGAGATTATCAGGAGGTGTACTAAAAATAAACATACTATGTTACACTTTTAAACTCACGACATTGTAAGGAGATAAGTACGGGGAAATGCATTACATTAAGTTATTACTTAACATTTTAGAATAAAATCTTAATGAATAATGATGATAAAACTGATTCAGAGGAAAAAAGTAGTAAAACAGTAAAACTGAAGAGTTACAACTGATGGACCTGATTAAGAACTTGCATCACCAACATCATTTTTCATATGCATCTCAAAGTAATCTCTCTTGTCTTATATGTCCAAAAGTCACAATATCTCTTCATATGAGTCTGTGAGGGTATCAGGGGATCACAGTTTATTATATTTTACTTTTTCTCTCACTATGCAAGATAAGAGACTTTTAATTTTCAGCAGTACCTCTGTAAAAAACTTAATTTTAATTTGTCTTTTTCCTTGATAATTGAAATGATACATTTGTTCTCATTCTTAATTAACTTTAGGAAGAGAACAAACCCATTTTACAAACAGTAATTTTAAGAAACTCAGAACTTTCTGCAGTTCTTCCATTGTACATAAAAATTATTTACAGATGAAATGTCCAGAAGTGATCCAATCATGAAAATTACCCAATACTTTACAAGATCCTACCTTACCTGCTTGCAAATTTGTAAATCTTGTGTCATTTGACTGGAAATTTTATGCTAACCATCAGTCATGCAGTTTTCTCTGGTGAAGTTTTATCTCATTTATTGAGTCCTTCCTTGTACTTACTGGACTCCCCGCTCAGTGAATTCAAATTCCTTTCCTTTGCTGGGTTATGCTTCTGCTAAGTTACTGGGCCAAGTTCCTCAGCGGGACAGACAGAGCAAAGGTCTCCTACTTAGGCAGCAATCAACTTCTTCAGCTGACGTGCCTACATCAGTGTTTTAGTTTGGATCAGACATTGGCTTTTCAAGTTAAACTTTTAGATGTCCCCGTTTATAAACCTTGGTTCACATTTGGCCTTAAAGTGCATTCAACTGGATTAATTTTTGATGAAACTAAACCAAAAAATGTACTCCAAGCTCTTGTAGATGCTTGCATGACAGGAAGCCAGACTAGAGCTACTCTGAAACAAAACACTTAAAAGTGAGCACTCTGTGGGTGATGGGTCCTCATCATGAACTGTTTTGCTTAACAGATCTGCTTCTACTGCATGGGGGTGGGGAGGGGCGGAATTCAAAGAAGGTTCTTCACGCAATAGATAAACTCTGACATACCTTGCTTATAATCCTAGAATCATAGGATTGCCTGCTAAAATCTACACAGATTCAACATACAGTTAGCAAAATTATTAGAAGAAAAATCAATTACAAGCCAATGACAACCTGTGGTACAAGAACTTTACGAGCTATGCAAACTGGGAGGCTGAAGGACCATATCATAAAAACATCACTGTGTCGCCTTGCACTCTTCCTTAGGTATCCCACTAATCCAACAGAAACAGCAGACTGGTCTAGATATGTATCTGTTCTAGTCATGCTGTTCTTGTTTTTCTGACATAGAGAGGAAGTCAGAATCCTCGCGCCTACGTCTCTCTAAAATTTAAAGACAGCTGCAAAAGCCACTAGAGTGTGGGTTCAGTTTCTCCATAGTGTCTGATTTGCAGAAGGTAACACATTACTAGAGCTAACAGAATAACCAGCAGCGTTAACAACAAAAATCAGAAACAAGGCACTGTAAAAGGTCCATATAATTTCATGCATTAAATTCTCTCCTTTTATCAAAATTTTACTTTTTATCTTTTTAAAATAACTATGTAACTTCTTCAAGCTGAGGAAGAGTCTGGAAATTTGACCACTTGAAAGGAATGGTTAGAAACAGTGGAATTAAGATTGCCTGTAGTACTTCAACTTGCTGCTATCGCGTATGCTTGTGCGTTACGACGCATCTTAAATTAGACAATGCTTTTTCTTCTTGAGAAACCATCTGATTAAGTACACACAGGATGGTCACTACTGAGAAAGAGGGAAAACGATAGGGCCAATCTGCCAGAACATTCCCTGCCTAATTTATGGCAGAATAGGCAGATGCAAGGAAAACAGAGCTCTGAACTGAACAAAGAACCAAGCTGTTCTGTCAGCAGAGGAATCGGTGCAGTATCGTAGTGACAAGCAGACTGGCGTCCTTTGGCTTATTTCCAAACTCCCTCCCCAGCCCCCAGCTTCTCCTCCACTCCGTGTCCCTCCCCAGGAAACAAGAGACATGTGCTGGGTAGTTCAGAGCTAAGCACGCGCTCACTGGCAAGGCAGCTGCCAAATACACGACTGTGGACCTGTGCCAGCCTTGTCCTCATAAGGGTACTCATCTGGGCCTGTCTTCCCTGTCCCACTGCCAATTTTAATGAAAGGTTTAAGAACTTTGGAGGCTTCTAAATCTCATCCAGATCTGGTTAATTTAGCTAACAGTTTGTGAGGTATTTTTTCCCCAGTGCTCCTATATGATGCTGACCAAGATTTTTTTCCCAGATAGGTTTTTTTCCCCTCACCTTCTAGGTGCTTAGCATGAGACACCTGAAGTTAGTCTGCACACCTACAGCTAATTTTCAGTTTTGACAACTATGACAGTATGTACCAATATTCTTGCTTGAAAAATATCTCCCTTCCTCAAAGGGACTTTATGTAGACAACTTCACCCCTGTCTGTGAAACACAAGTGTCACATGTGTGACCAGAAAAAACCTAAAGAAGAAAATACAAAATACTGTATTTATTATTGGTTTCTGTGTTAGGCAGTCAGGAAGTTTGCAGTTATACACTGAAAATAAAGAATAAAATAAAATATTAAGTAGCTGTTCAGTCAGAATCTTTTGTAACCCATAAAGAAGTTAACCATGCAAAACCTTTAAATAGTCATGTAAACTATTATGATGCATACAAACGCAGGCCATGTTGAAATACATAGGAAGCTTTCATTCTGACACTTCCTGAGTTATGACTGACTGACTTTCTGAGCTGAGGTTTGCTTTAAAGAGGCATTCAGACCTTTCTGTCCAGTCATCCATATCTGATCTGCCACATATGCTACAGATTATGCTATGTACTTGTTCCTGTAGCAAATTACTCCCAAATAAATAGATTTTTGTGAGGTGTCTATAGGAAACATCTATCTAGGGGCAAAAGCTTTGCTGGTCTGATGCAATACAGCCAAGCTGTACTGGAAAGGCCAAGAGCCAGGGAAGAGGTGAGGCGCTGCGATGCAGACTGTTGCTACGTGCAGGGTTTCCTAGGTACAGAGCTCCCAGCCGCTGCTCACTGTCTAGGGAGGGCTTGGAGCCTAACAACCAAGAGCTAACAGTCACCCAGAGTCCTGCTGCACACAGCAGCACTCCACTCTGAACCATCCTGTTGGAGATATTGATTTAATTCCCTCATGTGAGCACAGACTTCTGCTCTAGTAAATTATACATACACACACGTTTGTTGAATTTTATTTTATGTAATAGCTTGACATGCTTTCATGAAAGCCTCTGGGAAAGAAGAATGACATGAAATAATAAACAGACCAGTCTCTTACTAGAAGACCATTTTGTGTAAATTAAGTTACATGAAATGTATTAATTTCTAAATGTCATTTTGATTTATAATAAAAACCAAGATTATTGAGCCTCCTCAGCTGTAGTTTGCCTTTGAAACTTATTGCTTGGATGTTGTTAATTCTCCATGACAGTAACATTTTCCTTTTTCATTTACCTGGGCTCTTTTGGCTATATTTGAAATATCTTGATGTACAAAGCTGCAGAAACCATTTCTGCTGTGCTTTGCACTTTTTAAACATCAATGAGTATCTCCTCTCATTCAGCCCCATAGCTGGCTTGCAATCCCATTCCTGTCCAAAAGACAGAGGCAAGACCACGCAAAGGAGGTTCAGTGACCTTTTACCTAACCAATGCCAACTCAGTTTCGCTGGTGGAAGCAATATTAGGCTAGCTACACATGCAATTTCTAAGACCACAGTGATTAGAAGAATTATGAGTTAGACTAGAAAAATGTTTAAAATGTTGATTAAAAATTTAGAACATCAGTGAAATAGAAAGAAATTTATCTTTCTACTCTATCCTCAGCCAGGTAGAGACTTGGAGAATGTGCATACAAAAACGGAACAATATGCACTGAGATATTTTAATGAACACAGCTAAAGGGAAAACAGGCCAAATTTGTTATACAGTGTTGCTAGGAGGACTGACTGCAATAAGACATTAGCAAGTTTTACAGAGATGCAGATGTTTCATACTTAGAACCATCCCAGCAGTGCTAAGTCAGCTTTGAAGAATAAAGGTTTGAAAAGCAGGTACAAAAGGAAGGTATTTACCTAGCTTTTCATGAAGCCTAGACGGATAATAGCACAGAACATGTAGAATATTAAATAATGGAAAGTGTGGAGTATGAAAAGGTATACAGGAGTGAAGGAAGAAAAGTAAGTTTCTTTGTGATAAAACATTTCAGTTTCCTTGAAACTCTGAGAGTTTAGGAAAAATTAGAGAATGTCAGCATAAGAAAGTCAATTTTCAGTTCTAACTGTATTCAGGTCTTACCAAATATATCTAACTGTATTCCTGTCACAAGAGGTGATGCATTGGACAGTGGTAAGAATCCAGATAATGCAGTAATGCTGTTACTCTGTCTCATCCATAGCCTCTTGGAGTGTCTTCGAATTGCATTTTCCAAATTCTTTGCACTCCAGAACCTTTTCAATCCATGCCGGTCTTCAGCAGTGCAGCCAGGTTTGTACACTTCTGCACCTGACTTAACAAACCCCCTGTCCTGCACGGCATATTTGCAAGCTGGAAAGCCACCAGGGATGACTGACTCACAGCCACAGTAAGCCCAGTTATGGTCAGCAGCGCCTCGGAAACCACGTCAAGTTTACAAGTCACTAAACTAACTAAGAGCACAGGATGCTCTCATCATCTCATCCGCGGCTTGGTTAACTGATTTTGGTGATATGGACAAAAATCCAAGTACTATCAAAAGTTTTTAAAAACACAACTTGTTAATGTATCAGGGAACACACTGAAAAATAGTTTTTATACAACCTAGCTGGCCTAAAATAAAGGACCAACATAGACGGTCGAAAAAGAAAGTCCATTCCCATTGCCCTCCTCTATAATCTGAAGGTTGACATGCATCTCAACTCAGCAATAAATTCCTGTTACTTTCAAAACATTGAACAGATTCTCTCAAATTACTCTGGAATAAGACACCACTATGATGAACACATATTTTCTATTAAAACTATAACAAAGAAAAAAACCTGAAGAACACAGTAAATCTGAAAATTCCAAATTCAATTTACTTAGAAATGGGACAACTGCAAATGTAAGAGACTGACTATACTGCAATTACACTCCACTAAAAGACACAGTTTAGAAAAATTTAACGCAAAAGGGACAGGTTGCCCTATTTGCCAAGGCTGATTTCACAGCATCTTGCAGAGAAGTGCAGAAGGACTTAATCAAAGGAAACGAGAAGAGAATTACCTCAACGTGAGGAACTTCCACAGCTATGTCTAGAGCCCTCCTTGCATCACAGTGAGAGGCGCACGCTTCAGGAGCATTGTGGGGAGGAGGAAGAGGATGAAGAAAAGGAGAAATGACTGCTATTACTAATTGTCCTGACTACTGGCATGAGGCAGATGCAGTCTCTTCTTAGCTTTAACTTTTTTTTAAGACCACAAGGCTCAGGCTGATAGAGGGAACAGAAAGGCTATACATCCTAAAGCTACTAACGGATGGGGTTCTAACTTTAAGTAGGAGAACCATGCACTTCGAAAAACAAACTGCTATTTAGAAAAAGATGGGCACTGGGGGGACAAAAAAAAAACAATCCCAAACCAGATATTCATAAGCCATACAGCACACAATTACATAAGCAAAAATCATTTACTTATAACAAGACAGGAAAAAGTAATGATAATGGCCATTAATTATAACAGGCCAAATTATCCTGCTGTAGCCATATGGTTCTATAAATCACCAGCCTATTTTTAATATTTTAAATTCTTTTGAACCTTAAAGCTTCTAAGTGAGAGAGAATAGAAGAGTTTCATATAACTTTTTCGAGAACATCTTTAATTCAGATGAAAATGCTGATCCTTAAGTAAAATTATAGAATACACTCTGGTCTCTAAAGAGGCAAAAATCAGACTTAAGCGAAGACACTCAAGTTTTAGGGCATCACAAATATACACAGAAGTACTATTTTTTCCTTTACCTCCAGAGAATATTCACCCATGTAGGACAGCTGGCAAAAGCTATTAGAATTAATGCCAACAGTGATTGTTTCTCGCAAGCAACATGTTAAGACAAAATTTCTATGGTTGAGAACAACTTCCGAGAACAGTAAAAATCACTCACTGTAAATTAAGAAAAGCAGACATCATACTTGGCCAAAAAGGTCATGCTGATGACAGTGGATTATCTTGAACTACGTTGAAGATCTGTGATAATTCATAAATCCAAGGAAGTAAGATTATTAATACCCAAAAACTGTAGCAGTGCCAGTCTGGGTCAGCTAAAAACATGCGAAAATTGATCTGTTTCATCTGTTTTGCAGATATTTAGGAATAATTCTTTTACCGCAAATAGCAGTACACATTCCCTTCTAAGTGAAGGGAACTTAACTTCTAAGTGAACATACATTCTTCTACAATAACCTGAAAAACCTTCATTTTAATTTTCTAAACCCAACAACGACATTGATTATAGGGTGTTAACTGATTTTGGACTTGGAATGAAAGCAGAACTACTAATTGCAGCTAAAACCAAAAACCAAACAAGATAATGCAAAGACTACTTTAAATTAAAGAAACAGTGAAGCATCAAAACAAAAGCTTGGATGATTAAGTGTCTTTTATGTAGTCCTGATGAGCGTTTTTTATTTTGAGATCTTCCTATTTAATGGTATTTTTTAAGTAAATGCAAAAACAAAAGCAAGATTTTTCGGTCAATTGTCATGTAACCCTATTGATGAAATTCCAAACTCATTCGTTATTACAAACATTTTCACTAACAAATGTGTCTCTAAAATTAAATTTCATTGGTATTTACTTTTTGTCTGTTTTGGGCAAGCCGCTGTTTACTCATCATTAGTAAACACAGCTGTGTTTGGTTGCCGATTTTTGTGTGTTTGAAAACTACACACACACAAATACACAGCATATTAGTGCAAGGTACAGAAGAATCCTACCATTTTCTATCAAAAAAAAGATTTATTTGTTACTGAAATCAGCATACACACAGAAAACCAGGGAATTAAATTTTTCATATTTCACACTGTCCTTTGATCTGAGACACTATTAGATAAACTTAAACTACTCCTAAAAGATGCTTACCCACAGATCTCCACAGAAGATGGAAATTCCATACTGCTCCTAAGCAATCTTCTGCAACACCTAACCTTCCTTACAGTAAAAGGTTTCCTTAATGCCTAACCTAGATAATCTTTGCTGTACAGAAATCCATTTTTACCCATTCTCAAGGGACAATAAAAATTCTTCTCTGGAGCAATCTTTTACCACATTCTGAAGACTTATGTCTTCCTAATGATACATTCTTTTGGTGGAACAATCTAACAGATTGGATTGTCAAGGTCTCTGATTGTTATTGTTTTTCACTTCTGGACTTTCTCAACACGCCCATATCAATAGTGTTTCATTCTTGAGAGATTAGGCAGGTACTTATACATATCTGTCTGCCTGTATAGTCAGAAATCTGACTCTTTAGCTACACTTTTCAAAAAGTATTATAAATAAAGCAGTCAATTTATCTTGAGTAGAAACAAATGTAAGATAACTAGGGGCTTCTAAGTGAACAGCAATGTAAGAAATAATTTTCCAAAATTCATCGTAAATGGAACATTTCAAGATGGAACTCAGAGAAATACATATAGTTAAGGGTGTTCACCTTAACTAAAAAAAAAAAAAAATAATTATTGTTGCAATTCTGTTCAAAGGGAAAAAAAGGAACAAATTGAATACACATCAGCAACTCTTTAACAAATCCACAGTAAATGTCCTTGGGAGTCCGCACAGCCTGGTCAGAAAGGCTATGCCTTGTATACAGAGGTCAGTTGAGCTCTTTCTTGCTCGGACGTTTCACCTATTGAATGAAGTTTTTTCTACTACTTTCTAAAAGTATACTTTTTTGAAGTAGATAGACTGGTTAACTTTCTTCATTCATTAAAATAATTTTCGGATATCAAATATCTCTCATGATAAGGCTATTTTTACTGAACCCTACTGACACATTTACTGAACAAATTACTTACAAATGTTTTTCAGTTTGTTTGGGTTTTTTTTAAAGAAAAGTAAAAAGGGAAATTGCTTTTACCTTTTGGTGAATAAAAAGTCTTCAAAAGTATTTGCTAGCTCTGGCCACATACTGTCAAATTTTCCAGAAGATGCATGCTGCCTTGCAACAGGCAGTCCGATAGAAAGAACTTTGAGAAGAGAGGAAACAGCTAGCTTCCATGTGCTTTCAGAAGGACAGGAATACTTCAGACTAAGAGGTATTCTTAGTGTCTGCAAAATGAAAGTTAAAACAAAATTTCTAGTTGCTCAGACAAATCTAAAAACACGACTGGCTTCTGCAGAAGATATTGGCAGACACTGTCAGAGATGATAGTACTCATCCCTACCTTTTCTGCTGGTGTATGAGATGCTCTTTTAAAAATATAATTATAAAGATGATTTACCACATACCAGCTGGCTAAAGCATAGGTCTGTTGCCAAGTACAAGGTTATAAGTCAGAGTTCATCCATTACCAATTACACTATCAAATTACATACTAATTTTATTTTTCTGCATTGTCATCCACCATTTCTGCTAAGCTTGACAAATGAGCTTTCCTAAAAATCTAACAGATTGCAGGCTGTTGGTTATCACGAGTGTATTCTGGAGAATTTAGTCCCGTTCCTAGAAAGCTATCTCAAGTGCTTTCACGCTAAAGCAAAACACCCTCATTAAATGTAAACTTTTCCTAATATGCAAAATCAAACGGTACACATAACCACTGCAAGACACCTGGTCATTGCTGACTGTTGAACCACATGAATTCAAAAGCAAAAAGAGTTAATGAAATTCTAAGATAAAGGCTGCAATACAACTCAAATGGATAGCAGATGAAAACACAGAAAATTTTAAGTTTTTTAGATAGAAAGACAGCTTCAGTACATAGAAAAGAAAGCCATTAATGAGTTAAAAAACATTCAGTATATGTACTATTTACACTATATGTATTCCTTTCAGCATTGTTAGTCAAACTAACTAGAACCTGATTCCAAGTTATTGTGGAAAACTATTTATTTAATTTAAATTTCAAATACATAGTGACTAAATTTAGGTACTACACATATGCCCCCAATACTAGTGAAGTAGCTGTTTTAAAGAAAGCAAAAGAAAGAAAGTGGAAAGAGTCAATTGTCATTAACTCTCTCTATTGCCAAAAATTACAAGAGCTAGGATTTAACCCTAGAGATAGACAGCTGGTATTGTTCATAGGGATTAAATCTAATTCCAATATCAACGCAGGCTTTAGAGACATGAAAAATAATTTAAAAATCATTTTTATCGACTGCAATAGATCACATTATTATCAACCGTGAACACTGAAGAAAAGCGGTGTTTGTATCAGTTTCACCTATCCCATTAAATCAGAAGTGGAAAATAACTGCATTAACTGTGAAATACAAGTATTTAATTCATAACAGATTCCAAATAATGCCACATACCTATTTTAAACACATTCAAGTTTCTAAATTTCTAAATAGGAAAAAACTGATGTCAGCCAAGTCATTACAAACAAACCTAGGTCACATACATTTTTTTTTTTCCAGACATTTACTACTACTTCTATTATTTATCAAAATTATTTGCTAAAATGGAAACAAGGTCAAAAAAAGTTAAGAATTTGGCAATTTCGCCAGAAGGGCACTTTTGCACACCTGTAAGATTCCATAGCTACATCGATGACACACGAAGTCATTAAAAGCAAATCAAAAGTAATGGCTAGAGCACACATTCCCAAAGTACACGTCAGTCTACAGAAATTGGTCTTTGGCTCTCAATGCCATATTGACCTAAAAGGTCTGCATATCAGGTTCAGGTGCATAATACTTTCAAAGATTAACATTTTATGGCCTAAAACATTTGTTAATTTTTATCTTACCATTGAAATACTGATGCTGACATTATCCAGCTAAAGAACAATACATGTAGCCTAATCAATGGCTTTGCAGCTTCTAAAGAAATTACTACCTGCTGCTCATCTTCATAAAATATCAATTTGTTTACTAAAGCTTAAAGCTTCCCAGAAAGTGTTTATCAACACCAGCTCAAAATAAAATTCATGATTTTCAGTATAAACTCATTAAACTTAGAACATACGCAGGACAAACTTTTACCTTAATAATGTTCTGCAGAACTTTCTCCGTTACCACAGCTTTATGGCAAGCTGTCTTTTGGTATAAGTCCACAACAACTTCCAATGACCTCTCAGCAAACGGTACGTAATTCAATGCTACCCATTCCGCCTAGGAAAAGAAATGTGTAAATTACTGAACTATACGTGAAAACGTATTAATTGAGGAACAGAAAATGTATGTTTTGCATTGAACTCTCAGTTTAATGCATGCAAGCTTTGCTAAGAACATGGTCCAAGCAACAGAACTTCAAATACAACGTAGTCCGACTATGAAAATGTACTCTACTTTGAAGTAAGTACATTTAAGTAGGAGAAACGTTGCAGTCTAGGCAAGACAACTACATTAGGACAATCTTTAAGGAAATTTAACTCACCGGTGCAAATAGTTGTATCTAGTGTGATTCCATTGTGTTGCAGGACAAATAGAATAAGAAGAATTAATACAGACATAATAGTTACCTCTTCGATTACACTGAATCAGATGCTCATGCTTAGTGAACAGCAGAGTACACAGACAAAAAGAATCATTGAACATGTGTCGTTTCTTTAGAGCAAGTGCCATTCAAAAATCTGCAGCTTGAGGGAATTTTCTCCATTCAAAATTATTGTGTTTCTACTATATTTGGTATCGCATATAGGACAAGCTATTTTAGATTAATTCAGTGGACAAATTCAGACACATTCACTATGTCTGATGTCCAGGCAAGACCTTTCCTACACGGAGGAATACAAAAAAGCAAAGTAGAATTCAAAGGGAGCAAATGAAGCTAATGAAAGCATGTAAAAAAATACTAATAAAATGAACTTATCACGCAACATGCACAGCAAACTTTTTACAGATGGAATAAACGCATCTTTCTAAACAACCTATATCTGAAGCTGAATTGGGTTCACCAGTCAAGTGAAAGAAGTGAGGTTTCTAATTAATTACCTGATTATACTTCGCATTTGCAATGTGCTTTGTTTCCAGCTGTCCATACTGTGGAGGCTTGCAGGAAAATTCTACAAAGGCCAACAGCTGGTCAAAGATTGCAGGATACATTATCTGCATACTTTCTGAGCCCACGCATATAGCCTATACCAAAAGAAAATACAAAAGCTTAATATATACCATGAGCTTCCGTATTTAAAAATCTTCATCAGCACAAAGAGCTTCTAAAGAAAAATTCCCATATAAGACCATGCAAGGGTCATGCTGTATAAAAGACAGTGTCTAGTTCTAATAGTTTAAGGAAAGTAAGTTTTGTTATTTTATTAAAGTAAATTAAGGGGCAAGATACCTGGGCATATATAGTTCAGTAAATACAGCTATCTCATTTAATACAATAAAAGATATCTTTTCCTTACAAACTCTGCTTTGACATGGCAGCAAAATATGTCTTATATAAGTCTTGTCTGTTGATCTCAGCCCATCTTCTTTAAGTCCTACTTCAAGGAACATTTAAATCTCAGAAGTAAATCATACAAGGTTTTCGTAAGTAGTTAAAATTCTATCTTACAGAAAGGAACATAACTAAAATAAGAATTATATGATTTTGGTACGGCTGGAACTCATAATCTTGCTTTAAAATTGAAAACACTTCAGGAAGGGTGTACTTAGAAGATGTCAATGAAATATCATGTTGTCATAGGCTAATGATTTCCTGTTGCAATATAAATCCCAAGGCAATCTTAGGGCATTTATTTTGAAGGCCATATACAATGATTCTGGGAAGTTACTCCAATTATTTTCTGTCATTTTAAATGTCTTGCTTTTCTTCCCAAGCTCCTTGAAGCTTCTCAGAGCCTCAAAAAACAGTCTATTTATCACTCCACAAAAAGATCTTGTGCTTGTACTGTCATTTTTCCCTGGGGAGGAATCAAACGCCCTTTTCATTATGCACAGATCATCCATGATGAGTTGTGGCTGAACTCATTCAAGGTGCCAACAACTCCGAAGCTGTTCAAGCACAGCCTCCATGCTGGGGCTCTGTCATGAGCTGTGGCAATCGATGGGCTGAGTTCCCAGCCATGAGCGGAAGCAAGCCAACAGTGTCATCACAAGATCACTCTGAGACCTAGCTACACCTTCAGACAATCTACAACCTGCAGCAGAGCACTCCATGAATCATCAGTGGCCTTTCCCTTTTCCTCAGCTTCCTGCAATTCAAAATATGTCTAATGCTCAAAAAGCTTAATTAACACTATGAATACAGTGCAGCACTCCTCCTAAAAAGCCATGCTCCTTTTCCAGTACTTGAGCTCAGGACTGTACTAACTCTGAAAAAGATACTTTGATGCTACTTACTCACTTGTGTGGTGTAAGACTAAAAGGTTAATTGCTGATCTAAAAGTATTCAACACCCTGTAAAACAATTTCAGCTGATATGCTGCTGCACTAAGGTCAATGCACTAAATTTTAACAGGTTAATGCAAGATTATATACTTACTAGAAACGATGTAAAAATTATTTTATATACCAATAAATGGATTAGACAGGGAAAGAAACCATCCACAATCCCCTGGATAACTTCTGTATAGATCCAACTTACTTGCACAGATGCAACTTACATTACCTACAGAAGACTATCTTAACATCTATAAAGGCAAAACTTCAAAACGTGTTTGCCATAGATATTATTCTTCTTATTAGTTTCAGGATCAGTGGCAAACGATTTCAGATGCTCCTTTTTCTGTACTGGTGAACAAAAGCCATACCTACTTCCCATTTGAAATCTGTGTATGAGTAGCTTCTTAATATTTTATGAAACTCTTGTAAAATTTTCATTTTACAAATAGAAGCGTTTTCTATCCAGTCGACTGTGGTATTTTAAACTCTAAAAATTATCCATATAATATTTAAAAAAAGGAGAATTAGGTCACTTAGTTTTGAAAACTCATCTAATGAATTGCTTTCCAAAGAGGTTTATGCTTCTGACTGACACCATGTAACTTTTATCTTAAGCATCTGAAAAACCCAAAAACAGCCTAGTAAAGTGCACGATGAAGGATGTTGAGAGCATCTTTAAGAGCTGTTTATAAAACAGAGTACTATTTACTGCGTGAAGTGCGCTTATTTACATACTGAAGTAGAGACACTTAAGTATAAATCAAAGAGTCAGGGTCAGGCAACAACAAAACAGAAACAAATCCTAAAATAAAATACTCTGCAGATCACTGTTTGTTGTAAAAACTGACACAGTACTTTAGTTTCAGAAATCCATGCTTTAAAGCATTTTGGTACTAACCTTCAAATTTTTTAATAGTTCAGAGTTATCTAACAACTCCAACTCCCAGTACAGCTGTTGTCATGAACTACTGGGGGTTTTTTTTGGTTGGTTGGTTGGTTGGTATTTTTTTACAGCTCTCCACAGCTAAATCTCTACCATCTCTGTCAGTGTATATATATAGCCTTGAGCTTACCACACTCACAGCTCAAGAGGTTTGCAACCACACTGCCTGCAGAGGCAGAATTCAAATGTATCTGATCCCCAAGCACGTATCTGTGTTCCTCTGTCTGATGAGCCAGCTGGCTCACTGTAGAGTTGACTTAGAGTGAAATGTAGGGAGAATACTCAGAGTATTTGGGCTTGAGTACAAACTTGAGCTGAGCTACAGTGATGAAGCAGGCACTTATAGTACAGCAATGAAAGACTAGAAAATGAGTTCTAATGAAAAATAAAAAGAAAATGAAGAACAAAACGAAGGGTGTAAAACAGGCTCAACACACAAAGTCTGAAAGGAGAAACAAAGTTCCCTTCCAGTCCTATGTTTCTAAGTTGTAATATCCTTTGCTAGTGCAATGTCATCATAAAATATCTTTATTAAACCAGTCAGGGGTTGAGTCTTAAAAATGTCAGGGTGTTTTCATGCTATTCCAACTGCAAAGTTGTTCCAGAACTTCTTAGAAAATCAGAACTGACTCAAATCTTCCTGTATCAGCAAAGAACAAAACTTAATCTGATCCCACATGCAAACACGTAAGAAACAGTTTGTTTCAAAGAAGGCAGCAAGTATTTACAAACTCTTCTTTTACCATTCCACTACCTCCTGTGTGTACTCCTCAGAGTATTAATTCGTTTCAACAGAGGAAGACGACACTGTGGCCTCCAGTAAAGCCATCTGAAAGATGGCCTTTGCGCCACATCAGTACTGGCTGGCTGCCTTGTTATGTGAATTGTGCTTTGTTATATAGTCAAGAGGAGCGACCACGTGACCTCACAGAACTTACCCATGTCCAAATATACGTTATGTTTTTTTAGTGACTTCAGTGCTGTTCTGTTAGCAATATAACTATAGACGGGGTGGGAGGTACTGTATAAACTGAAGTACCTAAGACTTCCTATGTTAAGTCTGTATTTGCAAAGGCTTGTAACTGCCATGCTAACCATTTCAACTGGGAGAGGGGGAAGGGGGGATGTCTCTGTTTCTCATGGGGAGATACTGCTTTTGTTAAAGAAAACTTCAGCTAAAATAGTTTAACAACTTGACAAGAATAAGAGTATAAAAAAACGTGCGGTTTTTCCTCATGTTAAAAACTCTGGTAACCCCTTTTCGGTAAAGCGTTGAAGCCTGCAGCCTTTGGGAGCTCAGAACAAGTGGGTAAGGAGACCAGCAAAGAAACAGAAAAATCTGAGAGATTAATATATGGAGTGATTAAGTGGGGAAAACAAGACTTGGGTAGGGCTGAGCTGCTGGAAAGGGAAGGATACAAAAGGGTCAAGCCTGACTGGAAAAAGATGAAAATACAGTGGATATGATAGGTGTTAAAACTTCATGTTATTTATATCCCCACATACAAAACTGAGATTTAATACCAACTTCTAATCTTATACCTCTGTTCTCAAAATACATTCATGAATATTTGTTAAACTCATAAACTAAAGGAACGACTACAAGATAATGATTCTGCCTGACTTGCGGAGTTTAAGTATGAGAGAAGTTAACATACACTAAGCAAAAAGAAAACAAGATGCTGAATTGCTGCTCATTTAAGTAGGCATCATGTTCTACGAGCTAAATGAGGCAAGATCCAGTCTGAGAGGGGGAAGAAAAAAGAAAAAAAAAATATTCAAGTGAGAATAAGTCTTTATATAAGTCAGAACATAACAGCCCAAAGGGAATGAAGTCAGGTCACATGGATAGTTTTAATTTTGGCATTTCCCAAATAATTTTTTTTGGGGGGTTGGGGGTTTGTTTTTTCAAAAGCAGTGCTTAATATAATGCCTAATCTCATTCATTGTCAACTTTGCTTCTTTTGAATAAATAAGTTTTCTAAATGAACAATGTATTTTGCAAGGAGATGTTTTACAACTCCAGAAAGAAAGAAGCAATAACTTTTTTCACTATCCAGAAAAACAGCATCCTAATTAGTTGTTTACAGATTCACTTGCATGAAGGGTGCTCTTTGAGGATGAGTAGTAAGAATTTCTTAAGAAGAGATGCAGCATTTTCCTTAAACAACTCATTAATAAGAGGCAAGAAGGCAGGTGGTCTGCCAGAGACGTTTCTACATCTTATGTTTTGCATGAACTCAAAGTTCACATGATCAGTACTCTTCTAGATTCTGTTTATGGCAGTACCTGGGCAACACAAGTAATATCATTTGGGGGACTGTAAACGGCTACAAACCCAGCACCACGCTTAAGGTACTTCTGCAATCAAGCAAAAGCACGTAAAGATTACGCTATTCCTTTCAATGCAGAGCACCTGGGTTGCACCAGGAATTGAGATCTAATTGTTCTAATACAGTACACTGTGCAATTATAAGAAATTTTTTAAAATCATGTTTAAGCCACCACACTATAGTTCCGAGAAGAATTGAGAGACAGTGTAATTTACCTTTCACCATGCATTTGAAGTCACATTATTACCTTTTGTAAAACATCTAAAGCTGTAAGCACTGCTTCCTGTAAACTTGTCAAAACTGCTTCAGTGTAAGATGGAAGGATGAAAGGGGAAGCATCAGAACTGATCGGAACTGAAACAGCACCGTGCAAAATGACACCCAGCTTTTGGAGATCATCCATGCTGAAACCAGTTTTGATGTGCTGATAAAGAGCCGGGAATATCTGAATTAAAGCTGTAAGAAAAGGCTGGCTGGGAATGAAAGTCAATTTATCACAAGTAATCGGAGGCCTTGTACTTTCTGAACCAATCCTACACCAGCTGTTCCAGGCTGCCCACCAAAGATTCAAATCTTCAATCTCATCTGTTATTACAGGTGGTTCAGATCCATTGTATCTTCCTATTCTTTCTCCTATGGAGTCAGTTCTCATGAACGATCTGCCAAGACTAGTGGCAGTTGTTGTCCCCACCACCACAGGTACAGAAACATTGATAGCAGGTGGTGTGTCAGGCTTCTCTGAGTCTCGGACGGGAGAAACAATTTGCAAGATCTCCTGGAAGCTTTTCAGAGCAGCCAAGGAAACTTCATTATTTTTGCTGAGTGCTGCTGATTGGATGTGATCAAGAAGAACATCCCAGGCTTGCGGAAAGTCTCCTATTTAAAAAAAAAAAGAGAAAAAAAAATATCAACTTGGAATTGCCTTCCTACTCCCCTTCCCACCCACTCTGTCTCTAAAAGGCTGTTCAGGTACTTCTTACTCTAAATACAGAGAAATTTCATGAGGTTATGTGGTGGCTTGAAGGACTTTCAGAATGTATCAGCTCAACCATAACCAGAAAGAATGATGTGACAAAAGAAACGCACAAATATGAAGAATGAAACAATATATCAATGTTTATGTCGAATTCGCTAGTGAAAAATCACACACCACATCTCATACCAGAAAAACACGCTTTCTTTATTCAGGATAGTGAAACAAATTTGTTCTTATACATACCAGATGCCTGTTGATTTCAAAGTGTTACGCACACACAAGGAATTAAGGGTCAAATCTGTAAGTCATGCAATGCATTTATGAAGAATTGATTTTAAAATGATCTGGTAATTGTGCTGTGGAGAAAGATTTTATTTTTGGAGTTTGAGTTTTTCATTAAATTTAGCCTTAACCTTCCATTTTCTGTATTACTAATTATTGGGTCTGAATAATTAAAATAGCTCTGTAATGTTTTAATTTTTTATTCAGTTTTAATTCTAGTTTAATATAGTTTAAAATCTAGTACATTTCTGCAAATGACGAATACTCTTGCTAGCTATTAATATGTTGGTATCTGTATCATAAATAACCACAAGGAAATAAACCGCAACTTATTTCTAATTATATATACTAATTGCATACAATGGGATGATGAAGGTATATTAATGTAACAAGGAATTTTATTTGCAATTATACGTTCTTTATATCATCTTTTTATTTTTGAAAGTAATGTATTTAAGTAATTCTAGTTAACCAAACTAGAAATGAAAACTGTTTTGAAATTATATCAGAATATCTTTCTTTAGAAGACTAAACGTAAACAAAACATTTTTTCTGGACAAAACAGGCATGAATGCTGAATTATATATTTAATTCAATACATTTACATTGTTTAACTGTATGTAATAATATTTTATGTTTTACATTAGCTTGGGAAATGACCTAATGTTTAATGTCTATAAGGAGAAAGCAATATAGAAACACAGAAAAATCAGAGCCTGATAAAAAGGAAGAGAAAGAAATAAAGATACCAAGGAGCTATAGAAGAAAAAAAAAAAATTCAAGACGGGAAAGGTAAGATTTTAAGAGAAGAAAAGGGGAACTCACTTCAGTGAGCTGCATTAGGGACAACAGTAACTCAAACTGACATCTCTGTACAAGACAAACAGTGGAGGAGTATGAAAGGAGAAAAAGAATCAACTTGAAATAGTGGGTAATCTCAACATCCTTCATCTCATAAAAAGTCCAATCTTTTATTAAAAAATTCCCTTTCTTCTTTTCTAAGCTATACACTTCACTGGCTTTATAAGTGTGTTCTCTTCATACTGTAAGAGCACTGTTAAACTTGACACACTGGTGCCATGGGAGAGTTCTAGGCAAGTGTTGCATAACCTTAGAAAGATAAGAGGAAGAATATGTTCCGATAGCCAAAAGAACAGAGAAATTACTATTGTTATCAGGCTACTATAAACTAAAGCTATGTGGCATCCAGAATTGTGACTAGTGAGATTTAATCTCAAGCACTGTGATACAGAAGATGAAATTGGTACTTATCGTTTTTGGCTCTATGGAGCATGAATTAAAAACATCATAATTTTCATCACATTTGAGGTAAAATACAATAGAACACACTTTTAAGCTAAGACTAAGATTCTTGCCCAGTACTTTAACTGAAAAAAATATACAAAGGCAGAAAGTTTATTACTGCATCTTTCAGTAACTTTAAACCATAAATTTTACCTAAAGGCTGCAGTAAGTATCTCCTGGTGTTAAATATTCTTGCAACTCCAGCCAGTGTTAATACCCATGTCTCAGCCCACTGTTTCTCAGCTGTATCCCTTGAATGATGGATGAGAATGTTGCCTCCTCCTGATTCAATCTTCTCTTTGTCAGCTGTGGTAGAAGATTCTCGAACCCTATCCAACAGGTGAAATAAAACCTGTAATAGTCAGAAAAAGAGGAAAAGAGCAGCTTTTCAAACAACATAGCTGTATTCATGGTAAAACAACAAAAATGGTAATTCTTCTATTATCCCTTCTGTCACTGTGTCACACTGATAATTCCCTTACTCTAAATAGCCTCTGCAACAGCTAAGAGTAATAATCAGCCAACTGATGTTCATTCAAGAAGGGCTAGAAACATCGTGAGAGAACAGTGGGCCTAACAGAGGGCTAACACTGATGGATCTCAGATACCTCAAAGGTGTAACAGGCAACAGACTCAACCACAGCCTAACTTTTTCCATAGGGCACAACCAACATGACTGTGATCTAATATAGGGCATTTGGTGGATCCTTTCCAATAAGAGAAACAAAACACAGTGCAAAGCAAAGTTTGGTCTAATATCAGATCAGTCCAACCACATAACCCTCAAACATCACCATATTTTTGCACAAAGAAAGGAGTCATTCATCCTCACAGGAAGAAAGCAGCCTTTTTATACAACTCCTGAGTAAGAAATGGTCAAGAATCAAAAACTACATTTCATAAGAGGCTTTAAGGGCCAGAGAAAAGAAAGCATGAAAAAGAAAAAAAATCGAAAGACAGTATCAGACTTCTGCCACCATATCTTATCTTTAAAAATACCTTACTAAACTAGTTAATTCATATTCAAGTAGAAAGTCAATGGTTATTGAAACGTGAACGCAAGTTAAAAAACCCTTCAATGGAAGCTTACGCACCGTACCTTCCATATTACTGTGTGCCACGTTGAATGTTGCAATAAAGTTCCATGAGCACCAATAGTGGAAAACAATGTCTGCCCAGCGCTCTTTCTAACTGCAGGTCGGGGATCCACACACAGTTCTCCCAGTTTGGCATACAGGCATAACCAAAGACAGTCAAATGGTGGTGCAGGATGAAAAGGCCTATTCAGCATCACTCCCTTTTCTTCTGCCTGTTTCTGCAACACTGCTTCTTCTTTGTTTAGCTCCTTTTCTATTATTTCACCTCTTTGGAAAAAATAATCCGAAATATTCCACTACAAAATAAATAAGACATATGCTGCTGTACAATAAAAATACGATAAAGTTCTTAATGATCACAAAATAAATTGTTTCTCATTTTCACATTTAAAAGCATTTTGCCAAGTACACCAGGATATTAATTTCCCT